AACATTTTGCAAACTTAAAAGTTAGAAAAGTTAAGTTTTAGATTCTGAGTGGAACGATGAATGTATTGATTATACAATGATGTGTGTTTTTATTTTTTTTTTATTTTTGTGTCTGTGTACACGATAAGTAGTCGAAATAATGCTTCGATTTTCGACTTCAGTATCTTGTTCAATTGGAAAGTGAATATCGTTGGTGCATTGGGGAGGTCAAATTTTAAAAGTCCCAGTACTTTTCAAAAGCGCCAAGAAAAACAAAAGAAAAATTAAGGAAAACCAGGAATTTTTACACAAAATCGATTTTTCAGAAAATTAAATTTGGTTTTTGGTGTAACTTTAAAACAAATGACCGTAGATACATTAAATTTTCACTGGTTGTTTATATTTGCATTTTCTATACACGATAACATTTTCAAAATATTTTGATTTATTTTGAACTGTTTAGGGACATTTTCATTTTTCATTTTAATTTAGTTTTTATTCTAGAATTATCAATAAAATTTTATTTGTTGGTTAAAAAAACTTGAAAATTTAATAGAAGGCTCCTAGTATATTGTTTCAAAGGCAGATGAAAAATATTAAAAATCGTTAGTCACAGTTTTTTTTTTATAAGCATTTAAACTTTAAAGTTCAAAAATTGACAAAATATGGAAAAATCACGAAAATTAGCAAATTATTTTGAGTTAAGAATTCGTAAAAATTTTTCTTTTTAAATCTAAGATTTGAAAATGTAATACAAGATTACTCATAAGATTGTCTACCTTTATCAATAAAAAAATCTCTACCGGAAACTCAAATTAAATTTTTATGATCGTTTGAAATTCAAATTTTTACAACATTGGATATTCACTTGATTTCTCATGTAGCGATTTTCTTATTTTGTTGTAATTCAAAAACAAATAACTATAGATACATGAAAATTTCACTGAATGTTCAGATTAGCCATTTCCTATACACTGTACAATTTTGAAAATATTTCGACTCTTTTTGAGCTGTTTACGGACATTTTCAGTTTTCAATTTTTTTAGTTTTTTTTTCTATAAATATCAATAAAGTTTTATCTGTTGGGCCAAAAAGTGTAAAAATTTAATACAAGGTTCCTGATATATTGTTACAGTAGCAATTGAAAAATATTAAAAATACACAGGCACAATTTTTTTTATAAGCATTTAAACATCGAATTTTGATAAAATTTATCAAAATCTCGAAAATTATCAATAATTGTAATTAATAAATTATAAAGTGTTCAGTTTTTATAGCTAAATATTGCAAATTTAAAACAAAGGTTCTCATAAATAGTTCATACTGTAACCAAAAAATCTAAAAAATATATGAACACAGTTATTTTTTACAGACATTTTAAATTCAAATTTGGACGAAATTACATATTAAAATCAATATTAACGATCTTTGTTTTTGTTGTAATTTAAAAATATTATTCGGGGATATATGAAACTGAAAAATCAAAATATTATGGCCTATCCATACAATCTACCATAGTATAAGGCAGGGGTCTCCAAACCTTTTTATTCAAGGGCCACAAAAAAAATCAAATGCTCTTAGCGGGCCAAAAGTTTATTAACACATATAATTTTTAACTTTATGATAATATAGGTAGGTACCTATATAAATAATATGTTTACTTTATATTTTTGTATAGAATATTGTTTACTTTACAATATACTTAAATAAAAATAAATAGGTATAAATATAATATAATATAAATACATTTTTTAAATAATTTTTTTATCTATATATACCTATGCGTCCTATGCGGGCCACGGGCCGGTTAAAACTTGTTTGAGGGCCGTATCCGGCCCGCGGGCCGTAGTTTGAAGACCCCTGGTATAAGGAATAAGAATTATGTTCATGATAAGACTGTGCATATTTTAAGGAATTTATTCATAAATTCCATATAATTTAATACCATAGAAAAGTATATAATATGTCTTATACCTAGACTGACATACCGTCCCCGCTCAGAATTGTTTTTCTTATACAATGATATTATATCATTGCATTCAAATTTAATACCATCCATTATACAGTGACCCACTTGTAACCTACAGTACAGCAGAGCGACATCCACTTACCCACCTTTTGTTAACATGTACATGTATTAATTTTTTTTTTATGAATTAAAGAACCTACCTACCCATGTTATAATTTGTATAATTTATATGTATATATATATTTTTATCTATACTATAAAATATAAATATATAAAGAAAATAATATATTGTAGGGCACCAAGTAATTTTTGTTACTAGGGCACCATAAGGTCTAGTTGCGCCACTGATACTATACATCTCCTTATACCTTTATGACGTTTGTCGTTTATATAATTAAATATTAAACAATGATAAAGATTTTACATTTACTTTTGGAAGTTTAGGAGAATAATATTATGCATAGGTCTATAGCTTATGGATTTGTCTTCAAAGTTAAAATTCTATAATATAAATATAATTTTGGTTTTCTTAATTTGGTTTCTATTTAATTAATAATTGTTATTTATTATTTTGCAGTTTAAAATATTTCAATAATTTCATAGTTAATTCAGAGCCGTGTCAAGCAATTCAGCTCCTCGGGGCAATTCACGCCCTTTCCCTACAATTTGGGCCCCAGGTAGCATATTAAGTGCAAATAAAGACGTAACTTACTTTTACAAAACTATGGGGCCCGGCCGCCCGGGGGCAATTGCCCCCTTCCCCCCCCCCTTAACACGGCTCTGAGTTTATTACTTATCGAATGATTCTCCTCGTTAGGCTTTACGTGAATATTATATGTAGTGATTTTTTAAGTACCTATTCTCGCCCAATTTTTTTACTTAAATTGTACATATTATATTCAAATTCTGATTTTTAGAATTTCTAAATAAATTTGAAGGTTTTTTAATACTTGAGATTTTTTATACCATTTAAGAATGATGTTGTTACAATACAAACTTCTGTTTTTAAAATAGGAATCCTCTTTTTTTACTTTTAATAAAGTAAAAAAATGAATGTACATTTAGATATATCTACATTTACAAGAACATTATCTGCTAAATAATTTACAGTAAAAAAGGAGATTCTCATTTGAAAAATAGAAGTTTGTATAGCCACAGAACACTCTAATATTAGTACAAAAAATATCAGAAATTTGAATATATTGTCTTTAGGTATACCTAATTAAAAATTCTATAAATCAGAATTTGAATAAATGTATTTTTAAAGGAGAAAAGGTAGTGGCATTTTTTCCCCAAAATGTCAAGTAAATTTTGTATTTCATGATAGGGCCCCTTAAAAAACTGATCCATGGGCCTTTTGTGTGCCAGGTCGACACTGGCTGGACCTAATTCGAACACATAAAAGTAGCATGGACTCAATTCAATATCACCGAGTTGTTAATATATATTAATATAATATAGGTAATTCCCCACATAAATGTGTTATATTTAAAATTATGTCTATACGACTATACCTGGGTACTATAAAAATTTTGGTAGCTAGTTCATTGTATAACATCATGTAAATCATTATTTTGAATTACATATTATTATAGAATCATCTATATTTTTTTAAATAAATTATACTTGAAAATTGTATCCTAAATTGTATGTATTATATGATGTATAACACGATAAAGCACCTATAATACATATCATATAAATCAAGATATAGATAATACATAACAATTCTACGTGATATTATACATTAACAAATGTAACATATGACTTATTATAAATTCATTGTTTTAATGAAAAAAATTAAAAAATTATTTTTTAAAAACACACTTCTCTAAAAAAACAAAAAAATAATGAAAAATTTAAAAGTGTGTGGTATAATATGTCAAGTTTAAGAGCGCCACACACTTTTAAATTTTTCATTATTTTTTTGTTTTTTTAGAGAAGTGTGTTTTTAAAAAATAATTTTTTAATTTTTTATTTTCTACTTTTTAGTTAAAAAAAATTTTTAATTTTTTTTTTTTTTTTTTTTTTTTTTTTAAATTTTTTTACGGATTATTGTATTGTCATCCAAGACCAAGGTCTATACAAATTTTCAGAATTTTTCATCTTCAAAAAGTGCCTCAAATCGAGCGCGCAAGATTTGATCACAGACAGACGTGTAACCAAACTTAAGAAAAGTGTTAAAAATGAAGACTAAATATGCATGACAGGTGTAGCAGTGGTTACCCAGTGAATAGTGATTGAAGATAATGTGTCATTAATTAATCTGTGTAGTCGATAGCCGGTGAAGTCGATATGATATGGATATTAGATACTATAGATAGGTTACTAATTATTAGTTATTACTTTATTAGGTTGTTAAGGATAGGATGACAGCTCTGTTAAGATACGATCACTGATCAGTAGTCGGCGCCTGGCTGAGCTGATATATTATAATAAACCTTTTTTCAAAACTGTATATTTTGACAGAATCAATAAATCCCCGTACTGTAGTAACAGTACACGCATACTGTGCGTATTTTGATATATTTATATCAGGTACAAAGGTACACTCTACTACACTGTATAGTTTTATTCTTTAAGGAACAATGTGCATTGTTCCAATTAACTGTAAATTGTATTATATCTATTTAAACCGAGCTAATTAGATGAATAATAAATAATGATTAAAAATTATTATACATAGAAATCTAAGATTAGATTAGAATAATATATTGTATTTTAAACTTATCATAATAAATTTGAACTATTTATATTTTCATAATACATTTTCACGACCGTTACACGATTAAACAACATAAGAAAAACTCAACAGCTGAAGTATAAATTCCTGGGAATAGTTAAACACTGTAATATTTCAATTTAATTAAATTGTGTATAGTTTTATTTTGTCTCTATACTTCTATAGTTCTAAAGACAAATATAATAAAGTTGTGCTAGTATTGACATTTAGACTCTTCGTTGATATTTATTGATGAATATTATATTAGGTATTATGAATTGTGCCAAATTGGAGGTATAGGCACTAATGTTGAAAGAAGATTGATTCGTACTAAAACATTTGTAATTTATCAGCAGTGATTGAATTGGAATATGCAAAACGCTTTCTCTTTTTGCTATAATTACTGGGTAAAATTATCTGAAAATAAATATTATAATTAAAACACTTAAATATCTAATTAAATCTATTAACTGGAGTAAATATTAAAATTCTATTTAATTATTATTCAAAAAATTAGTGTTAAATATAAATAGGTGTTTTTTGAAACTAACCGGCTGCAACGTAAAGTTCATTACTTTTGCTTCGTTATGGTGTTTGTTTTCGACAGTAACTAATTTAGTCGAAGATAAATATCCATCCATGGAAGCTGTGACGTGATAATCACCATTTGTGAGCAGTCTGTAATAGTCTCCGTCTTGAACTGAAATTTCCAAAAATATCGAATCAAATTTTTTACACATCAAAAAAGTGTCATTGTACGATATATGACTATTAGACTACCATTATGCACTATATTATATTATTATGTCTATAATCTATAAATAGTTTAAAATTTACCGGAAGTTACATCGTGTAAGATTGGTGACAGTTGGCCATTAGTAACATTTACCACTTTGATAAATGCATTTACTAATGGTTTTAACGTAACCGCGTCTTTAATTATTCCTTTAATTCCGATATGTGACTGAAACATTTTAAATAACACAATTATTAACTGTTAATTTCAAATATTAACATATAAAAACAAATTAAACTGAGAAAATATTATGATATAAATCTGTTATGAAAAATTTATTTGGAAATACTTAGTACGGTACGTAACTAAATATTATTCTACGTTAGTATTATCTGTTAGCACGAAAATTAAAATGATTGAAAATATACCAAAAAATTTACTTTGATCTTTATTAGGTAACTTCAAATATGAGCCTAGATATTATTACATAATATTGTATTAGGTAATAGGTATTGTATAATTTATGATAATCCAAATTGTTTGAGTTGGAAAGACCTGGTAGAAAATAAGGGTTTGGTACAATATTTGAATGGCTTTATCGCATTATTCTGATCCTGATGTATATTAAAAATAGGATCATGGGTACTAAATTTAATTATCTTTTAGGAAATTCATAAATTAAATTTGAAATAACATATAGGTAAATTTACCAAGCAATACTCACTTCCATTTTTTCCTTTGATAATTTATTTACTCAAATTCTGATTTTTGGAATATTTTAATCTACATTATGACTATATTTTCTGGTAGGTACCTGCTAATTACATAGATTTTTATACCGTTTAAAGAGTGTATTGTGGCGGCACCAACTTCTTCTTTCCCATAAATTGTTAATTAGATGATTTTTTTGTATTACTGATGTACGTACCTAAATTGAAATTCTAATAGTATATTTTCAGTAATGTAATATTGTGAACTAATAATTAAAATGCAATAAAGATCCATGATAACCTATGTACGTTTAGCAGACACCTATAAAGACTATGATTATTTGAAAATTATACTAATTATTTTTAATCCATTAACATTTTATAATTTATAAAAATTGACTGAGTATAATAAGTTCTAAACAGTACATTAAAGATTGGATAATAGGTAAATTTTTGTGACGGTGTCGCAAGCGATCTACTTATAGTTCATTGGTGTCGTAAGCGATCTACCATAATTGTTCACGAATTTATGATCTATATACATGTCGGGCTGGCACGGGCTCTGGTCACTGGTGTCGTAAGTGATCTACTAAAACTACTTACAAATAGTTTATTTAAAATTATGGTAGATTGCTTACGACACCGTTATCTATATAGCTATATTTTATAGTTTTGTGAAACTATTTTTAAAGACTATTAGTTTTAGTATACACATTTTAATAACTCAGAAAGTCAGTAACTATACTTGTTCAAATTTTGATTTAGTAACATCAACATTTTCAAAAAAATCATCTGCTTTATAATTGACAGTAAAACAGATTAGTTCTTATTTTCAAAAAGGAGTTTGCATAGCCACAGGACCTTAGATGGTATAAAAATCGAAGTAGGTATTTAAAAGTATGGTCCTTAAGTAATAAGTTCACAAAAAAATTACAAAAATTTAGATAAATTCTTTATTAAAGGAAAAAATGGGAGTGAGCATGCGCTTTTGTGTATCATTTTGTCTACTACATAAAAGTAAGTAGAAAAACAATTCGTTGAGTGGGGGGGGGGGGGGGGGCAGAAGTCCTTTACTTCCTGAATTTTTCTCTTAGATTTGGATATGCGAATATAATTTATTTATTAACGTACCTGCCATATCAAGTTGATGAGTGCATCTTTGTTTCTGTTCCATTCTTTTTCTAGTTCATTTTCTTTTGTATATTTGTCACAACCCAGCTCTAAGGTAATTTCAAAATCATTGGAAGATAAGTAGTTAAAGTCTTGCATTCCTGAAATCAAATTTCAAATATTAAGTTTATGATTTGGATGGTCCTAGTTAACATTCATTAAAATTACAATTAAATTGCCCATAAACCGTTGAGTATAAAATTTCATACATTTTCATTTATAAATGCCTATGAAAATAGGTTCAGCTCCATTCGTTGTTATTAGTTGTTAGTTTTTCTAACTTATTACTTTTTATAATTTGATTTCCCAGCCCACAGGGATGGGTTGAAGGTTGAAATGAATAAAATACATATATGATGCAAAAACTTAATTAGAGAAGTATAATTACCATCAGAGGAGCAATTATAGTAATAGCTATTAATAATTTGCAAAATGTATTATCTATAATCTATATTATTCTTCTAGGTGAAAATATACAGCAAACTGAAAAAATATTTAAGCCATTTATATTTACCATTATTATTTTTATACTCCCTTAATAATATACTCTTTGTTCGACGAAATCAAGAATGGACTAAATGCAATGTACAACATTATTGGTTCAAAATATATTGGTTATTTGTACAATATTATACGTAATACGTCAATACCTATATTCAATAATCAATAAACCCATATGAAGATAGACATATTTATTTACCATTTACGTATTACACACCTGATGCAACAAATATTTATGAAAAAAATAATTTACAGTTTAATTTTTAAAAATAAAATTATTATTTTATATTTAAGTTTATTAACAATACAATGTAAGAAAAATCAAGTGTAAGTTATTAAAAGTATTTATAGTACCTAATTGTGTTTATTAACTAGTTTATTTATTAATTTGTAATTTATAAAGACCGGATTTATATTCTCTTAAAATACCTAAAATATGATACTTATATTTTCTAAAAAACCTTCAAATATTCTCATTATGTTCTCTTAAAATTTTTAAAAATGTGCAAAAATAAGCAAAAATATGCAAAAATAATCAATAAACATCATTATTTTCTTTAAGTAATTTGCATTTAAAATTTTTTTTTAAATTATTTTAATAATGAGATATTAATTAGGTATTAAAAGTTGCGTATTCCAATGGAATACTATTGCACTTAAGTAAGTTGGAAATGATAAAAAAAAAATTTTCAAAAAATTTTTTTCTGGTTACAGTAATATTAAAATTAAAAATAAATACAATTTTTTTCTCACAATTTACGAAATATTCCAAAGTATGCTAAATGGGTTAAATATTCTTTAACCCATAAAATATTCTCAAATATGCAAAAAAAACTTTTTTCTACGCATTCAGAATTGAACGAATCGTCCACATTTTTTACTCTCATAAGACTGCATAGACCCAGTTCCAGTAACGATATGTATAAAAATATATAAATCCGGTCTTTAGTAATGTATATTGTATTAAGCTTAAGCGATTATAGTACGTATGGTATAAATATCAAAAATTTCTAATAGGCTATATTATAATAGAAAACCGGTATAATTATTTATAAATGTATAATAAATATTATATACAGTAATTCTTTTAAAAATATCCTATTCTTATATCAAAAAGCTTTTGAAAATTCTTTTATTACATAATTTTACTTTATCATAAAACAACATTTTTTAATAGCTAATTGGTGATAAGTTATAACTTATAAGTATTTAGAGTTTGAATAAGCGGAGTGGTGTGACACAGCCTGCCATGTCAGGGGTCTATAGCCTATAGGTATAGGTTGGTTGATTGGTTCGTCCACTTTTCCGTTCGTCAAACCTCATAAGTCATAAGTTATAACTTTATAAGATATTATAAACAATTAATTTATGGTATGAAGTTAGATTTTATTTATTAATTATCAATTCATAGAAAAATATTCTGATTGAGAATATGAAGCTTAAAAATGTTTGTTGTCAATTTATTGAAAAAGTATAAAAGTTAATTTTCTATAAAGGTGAAAAATAATAAAAAAAATCATCCTATATAGTGTATAGTAAGATGATTATAATATTAAATTAAGTATTAAAATATAATTATGAATTATTATTTTAGAATGTAGACCGTACTCGACTGTCGGAATACTCGGTAGGTACTCCTAGAGCACTCTATATCTAAGCATTTGTTGTCTCCGTATACGACCATAGGCGCAAATAGCGTATGGTATTTTGGGGCGGGAACTAAATCCTTACTATGATAATATTGAATAAGCTTAAAACAAAATGAAAGAAATATTTGGGTTGCTATGGATATTTGGTGGGGGGCTTGGCCCCTAAAGCCCCCCTCATATTTGCACTTATGCATACGACTAGCTAATTTTAGTTCACTAGTTTCAATAGTGGGCTTCTAGTTTTGATATTATATAGAATGAATTGACCTATTATGAAAATTTTAGGCAAGAACATTATCTGTGCTAAAGCATCAACAATTTGTTCGATATTTTAATTCAAGTAAGATATGATTATTTGAGATATCACAAATTAAAAATGTTTATATCTCGCTTGAAAATTAAAATATCGAATAAAAGCCAAGCCGTTGCTAGAGTACCTACTACCTACAGAGAATGTCCTTACCTAAAATTTGTATAGGTAATAGTCAATTCACTCTAATATTAAAACTAATAGCACACTTGCAACACTATTGAACGAAAATATCACATTTTTGTCACCTTTACCGGGCTTTACCAATTAACATATAATATATATTAACATGCTATAAAAATTAAAATTTTATGTGTTTAAAAAATGGCTATACAATTCGGGAAAGACTTCTTATAACATTAATTAAATCATAAAATAAAATTTTTCCCCCAAAAGGTACTTCGTACTTACTAATAGTAACTATATAGTTTAAGTTATAGTAGGTATTTAGGAGTATTATAGGACCTATATTATAGATAGTATGACATAATAAATAAATATATATATTATATAGGTAAATAGGTTGTTTCTCATATAGTGGGCCAAACCGCCGGTTGAAATTATTATTCCCAATAGTTTTAAATAAAATTATTAAAATTGATACCTAGTTTTTCAAATTATAGAATTATTGAAATGCTTTATTAATTAGTAAATTTTCAAATTTATTTAGGAGATGTTTTCAGCTAATGAAGCATATTATTACAAGCATTTTATGTTTAGATAGGTAAATTATGTAATGAAGTGCGAAATATTGATATATACTATTCCGCTTACCTAAACAATACCTAGACCATGCTTATAATTTTATAAGCTACAATGATTTTGTATAACTTTAATAATAGTAAACATAATTTTTTCAAAAATGTACCTGTATAGTTTCGAAGTATTCAGTAATAAGTGTTATGCTAAAATTATAAATTGATAAACCAGCGGTTATATATTACATATACAAGATACAACAGAGTACAGACTATAATAAATACTCGAGCGTAAATATATTCGTCCTCATTAAAATTGTTTTAAATTATAATTATTCATTTATTGTATTTATAACAATTTAAAAATGGTGATCTGCTGTACAGTAGGTTACAAGTGGGTCACTACAAATTTAATACCACCCATTATACATGTATAATGGGTGGTATTAAATTTGAATTCCATGATATAATATCATTAAGAAAAACGATTATGAGACGGTACGTAAATGTCCTCAAAACTATAAACAGCTCAAAAAAAGTTTAAATATTTTCAGAATTGTATGGTGTATAGGAAATGCTAATATTATGATAATATAAGCATTCAGTGAAATTTTCATGTATCTACAGATATTCGTTTTTGAATTACAACAAAATAAGGAAATCGCTCATAAAAATTTAATTTGACTTTCTTATAGACATTTTTTTTTTTTTGATAAAGGTAGATAATTGTATAAGGAATCTTGTATTACATTTTAAAATCTTAGATTCTAAAAGAAAAATGTTTACGAATTCTTTACTCAGAATAATTTGCTAATTTTTGTGATTTTTCCATATTTTTGAACTTTAAATAATTATAAAAAAAAAAACTGTGACTAAGGATTTTTAATATTTTTCATTTGCCTTTGTAACAATATACTAGGAGCCTTCTATTATATTTTCAAGCTTTTTTAACCAACAAATAAAATTTTATTGATATTTTTAGAAAAAAAACTAAAAAAAAATGGAAAATGGAAATGTCCCTAACAGGTCAAAATAAATCAAAATATTTTGAAAATGTTATCGTGTATAGAAAATGCAAATATAAACAACCATATAAAGACACATCATTGTAAAATCAATACATTCATCGTTCCACTCAGAATCTAAAAATATTTAATATTATGTAAACAATTATTAAATCAAATCTTACCTCCTCTAACACTATACCATTTAGCACCATTAGTGATACCACCTTCTTTGCCAAAATTTTTGTCACCACCTCTACACGGCATTCTATTTGGATTGGCCATATCTGCGTGATAATTTGAATAGGATAAAGCTAACCATCTAAATAAAATATGATTAAACGTTACGAACCCAATTTATATATTAACATAGTTTAAATAGTTTAATAGTTAGTATTACTGTATTATTTTTATATATATAAGTAATATTTATGACAAGACATTACTTAAAAGTTTCGTCGTCGGGACTTGTGGCATATTCGCCTTGCACATTGCCGTATCTACTAGCGTCGTATGGATAATTGGCAACTAAATCACCTCCATGAAGATTAGCTGAAGCCACGAACGGTATGGACATAATCATTTGCATTACAGCCTTGGTTTCTGGTTGCACCTATATGCGGGCACAGGTATACAAATATATAATAATGATGCCATTACACCTCAGTCCTGACACCATTAAAATGTTTTAATGTTCTACTTATTTCTATTTACTCATTTTTACTAACTTGTTATACTTTGCCTTAATTAAAAAACAACTAGATCATTAGTTTTAAACCATCAATTAATTTTGTACGTTGGTATTTGTACTTATAACGAATATAGATATACAAAACAAATAATTTAATTATTGTCAATAAAAAAACGTGCATGTAATTTATACAGATATACTAATAACAATATAAAAAGTTAAGAACTTTTTGTTTTTTTCATAAAATAAATAAAATGTGCTATGGGTAAAGGCAATTAAACAAATATATTATAAATAAAATTGAAAATTGATTTATAATAACAATAATAATAAATGGATAACATTTTTTTAAGAGAGTAAAAAAAAAACCAAAATTAAAATAATTTAAAAATAGCAATTACCGGTTGATCCAAATGATCTACCATTTGCATTAAATGATTGTTGATGTCTTTGTAATATGCTTCGTTATCAAAAACGATTCGGTCTAAATCTGGGAAATTTCTGTTTAAATCCACGCCCTCAGCGTTGTCTCTCCCAATTAAATAGTTGCTGCCTCCCTAAATGTATGAGTTCACAAATTTATTTAAATCATTATTATACAATGTAAACGAATATATTGTACATCATCTGTTGATCTTTGCCATCCGTCAGGATTCATTGTCGGCATTAGGTGAATCCTAGTTTTGGTAATTAATTTTACTATTTCCTCGTTTCCGGCTATAAACTCATCACAAAAGTAATCCGCCAATTTCAACAGTAGCTCCCTTCCGAGTACTTCGTTACCATGCATGTTAGCTATATATTTGAACTCTGGATCCACTATAGAACATTTTTAAAATTATTAAATATGTAGGTATAGTGATAAAATTAATAAAAAATGTAAGTACTTGGCTTATGATAAGTTGGATGAATTGAAAACACGACGACTAAAAGTGGACGGCCTTCTACGGAGTCTTCCGACAGCCTGTACAGACTAGTGATGCTTGGGCATTTTTCCCGTATTTGCAAAATGGCATCGTATATTTCTTCATTGTTGTGGTGCTTGAATTGGAACTCCTTTAGTTCGGACGAATTTGCGTTAATCGCAAAAACGGCTAACCACAATAAAGCCCACACCGACGCTGCGGGTGATCTGCATAATGTTATATATAGGTATATGACATTTGCATAAGCATATTTGTGTACAATAGGTAATATTTCTATTGTTAATTATAATAACTAATAAAGTAATAACTAATAATTATAAGTATGTTAATTTTGAATATATGAATTATGTGAACAAAATAATAATTATAATCAATTCTTACCCGAACATCTGGATTCGCTTATTGATCATTATGGTTTAATAATAGGACATTTCAGCGTTTAATATTGCTCCGGTGTGGTTATTATTGGATTATTATAATATAATGAATTATATATTTAATAGTTCTCCGGAGTGGCGTGTGACTACGGATAACTTCTACAGCAGCAGTAACGTCCAGCTGGCTATAACATAATGGCAATGCAAGTTCTGAGCATGCTCAAAACGTGTATACGGCAAGTCCGTCCCACCCACCGGGGCTTCTACAATAATATAATATATTGATTTCGCGCCGAGTATACGTTATTACGTCAAGACCTGTGGCCACAATTTTTTTCTGTTGTTAAAGCAAAACAGTTAATAATTAACATAGTTTAAAAATACGTTCACCTCGTTTACATGTATAATTTTAATGCGTTTAACAAAATATCACAAAAGCTTCGCCAGCTTTTCTACGACTTTCGTAATATAATGACCATTAATTGCCCATCTATTTTCTCTATACTTTTCAATTTGTGAAATATTTAAACGTACATATAAGATTGTTGCTCCTATAAAATGGGACAGGGGCAACCCAGAATGTTAATACAGCTAGATAGGTATAGACTATAGGTTCTACTTATATAACCTAAACCGAAAACAGCAATTGAGAATTGAAGTGTATATACTTACTATATTAATTATTATTATATACCAAATAGTCTATAATATTATGTATAAAAATATATTTAAATCCCATTAGTTATCGTTAGACAAGAATTACAACCAGTGGTGTATCCAGAGTTTAATTTTGGGAGGGGGCCTCCTAAAAAAATTACCTCCAAGCCATAAATACAATATAATATGTAATTATAGTAAATGTTTTCATTCTAATAATATTCCCAATGGTTTCTAAAATAGATAGATAGATTGTGTAATTAATTATAATGCATTACATTACACACTTTAAAATATTTCTGTAAGTAAAAATAGGAGTCTGTTGAAGAGGTCTGTGGGGGGGGGGGCAAGGCCCCTGGATCCGCCACTGATTGCAACAAGCGTATTTAATATTTATTCGCAGTATATAAAGAATACTAACCGTTCGAGTGTTATATACTTATATCTACTGTGTTAGCGGAGCTCAGCACTATTCGATTACTGATGTTGGGTTCAGCGTTTATTGAAACATAAACAAATCAATAAACATACATGAATATATTGTGTACATTTACAATGAACATCAACAGTTGATATTATGAAATATTTGTTTCGACTTACTGACGTATATAAAGTAAACTGACGTCGTTACTCGACGCTCGTTACAACTAAAGCGTCGTTTAGCTAGTAGTAGTTTGAATAATATTAGGTATATATATATAATATCTATTACTATTTACAAACCATAACAATTCAATTAATACCATACCGAGGTTATACAAATAAGAAATATAAACATTATTTGTCTACTTCCTTTTGAATAATCTTTAGTTGTATAAAACTACTTATATAACAAAAGTATAAGCATCAAGTAGGTATATCAAAAGGTTATATTATATAGCTCACGTTTTGATTGATTTTAAAGGCCAATAATTAATAATATTAAAGGCTATAGGTAGGTACTTTGTACTTTGTAGTAGGTACCTACTAGTTACAAATATTGTATAAAACCTTGTTGATATACCTGTGATATACAAGTCAAATAAGTTTTTTTATATTAATGTTTATGCCTTTAAGGCATAATTTGATAAAACTGCTGTGAATTGCCAGTGATGTAGGTAGTAGATACCTATATTTTGTAATTATTATTTATTTTGGTGTTATCCTTAACTTTTGATTTGTTGATTTGTGATACACATTGCATACTATTTTATAAAATATATGTATATATTATAGTAGGTACCTCCGTGGCTTCGTGAATTGACAATAGTCAATAGCCTTGAAACTGCGATTGAAAGATCTATGGTCTGGAATCAGTTTTAGTATATATTTAGACAAGTCTGTCTCGGTTTCCTATACCTGTGCAGTGTACGTAATGTATCCACATTAAATACGGTATGATTCATCAAGCAAATTCTGAAGTAAAAAGTATAATATAACATGTTTTTAAATACACAGATTTTGTTCACCTGCCATTTAATGAATGTTTAGATATGATATAAACTAATTTTTTCAAATGAGAACTAGTGCCACTCTTTTTTACTGTAAATTGTTAAGTAAATGTTTTAAAACGTTGATGCATCTAAATGAATTAAAAATCAAACGAGTTACGAGTAGTTTCTGAGTTACAAAACTTCTCATATTTCCTATTATAATCACGAAATATAAGTAGATGTATAGGAGAATCATAACTCAGAAACTCCCTTTTGAATATTTAAATTTACAACAACATGTTCTAAAAAATTATCTGCTTACCTTTAAGGTCCCCACACACTGCAGCGGTGGCGGTGGCGGTGCCGTTAAATTCTATTGTCTTGGCTTCACCGCCACCGCCACCGCCACCGCCACCGCTGCAGTGTGTGGGGACCTTTACAATTTACAGTAATAATGGGTGATTTTCAAAAAAATAAGCTTGTATTGACACAAGAAATTCCTTAAATTGCATACAAATTCAAAATGGTCTTTAAATAATAGGTAAGTATAACTTATTTAAAATTCAAAAAATTAGAATTTGATAACGCCCAAAATAAGCAAAAGTACCCACAGTGAAATGCACAGTACTGCAGTACCTATATTTAATATAATATACACATTACAAATTATAAAATATAAATAACCTATAGCTAACTTATAAGCATGATTCAATAAGCAAAAGCCAAAAGATGCACTGAAAAGCAAAAATAGAACTTTTTAAATTAACAGAAAAAAGGGGCGTATGAAAATTGATCCTGATAGCGAACATGCTAAGACGGTATATATCAATTATCAGCCAGTTTAAATCTTAGGGCCGTTCTTACAATGTCCGGTAAAGTGTCGGTTAACGCTAACCGACTGATAACAGATTTTATTACCGGCAGAATTCTTCCGGTTAAGTGTCGGTTAACTTTAACCGGACGTCGTAAGAACGGCCCTTAGTATATTTTATGATATAGCCATATATTATTATTTATTATAATACTATTAATTAGTATAGTTGGTAATTGATTTTATTAATAGTTTATTAATTTTTGCCGAAAATATTGTATTATTTTATTTTATATAGTATTGTTAATATTTAATTGTCATAGTAAATTAATTATGTAGTAACTACCTAGTTAATATTTATATCATAAATTTATTACCTATTGACTATTGGTAAGCCTTATCGTCGAACGGACGCTTGTGAATAAGTTTAACTTTTTCAAACAATTTGGCGGGGGAACTATTCAGTGCCACTCCGCTCCACTCATCTTAACTTTAAATACTTATAAAGGCTCTGTCAAACAGAACGCGTTACAATGCACGTTAAAGCGGTAAATGCCAAATGGCTCGTCGGCGTGGTGCTTTCACGCACGTGAATAACGCGGCGTTGTAACAAATTACAAAATCATGCGACTTTAAAATAACGCTTTTAGTTTGACAGAACCTTTATAGCTATATACATATCAAGTTAACTATTCGTTCGACGTTCGATTTTTATTCGAAAAATTCCCAGAAAAATATTTAGCTTCTGAATATGAAATTTAAGATTTATTTTGTCACTCATACAAGTGAAAAATAAAAAAACAAAAAATGATACAAAAACAAAATTGTAACAAATAATTATAGGTTTTTTTTTTCAAAAAAAGTTGATTAGCAATAAATAAAAATGATGTGGAAAAATATTGTTAAGAACTTTTTGAAATAAAGAGTTAGAGGAATCACTCTGTATACAATATCAATTTCACGCGAAATTAAATACGTAACAAGATGTCGATACTTCGTGATTGCATTATAACACCGCATCAAGATAATTACACGAAGCACAGTTTCTGGTGTATTTGTATCGATGGTTTTAGGCTATCGACCTTGATAGTATGTCATCAGAATATAATATTAATACATAAACAAAGTAACAGTTTCCGGGAACCACATTGCGAATCACATCCGCGACGGCAGAACTGCACCACACAGCGCGAATCGCTGGGTTGCTGATACGTAATTTAGCTGTTAATATTTGTATAATAATCGTGATATTTAAAATTGTCAATTCGGTGAGAACACGGAGAGCCCTCGAAAGGGTAGCTCGTGGGCGATCGATGACCAGGCACATAAACATCAGACCAGCAGTGACGTGACATCATTTTTGTATGGTGGGGGGGGGGGGGATCAGGAAAAAAATTCAAGCTCGATACCTATGTCCTATACACGCATTAAAAGAATAAATGTCAAAATATAGGTAATATAATTAAATTAGGTAGAAATGTGTCTATAAATATTTAAATTTAAGTTTGAATAATATTTAAGTAGGTACAAACATAGTATTATTGTTCTACGGTATTATTAGCCTAATAATAATAATATTATAGGTATAATTACATATTGATGATATTATAATAATATATTAATATATTACATTATTAAATTATTACATTTAAAATATGAAGATTCTAATTTTCGAGAATAGCGTGAAAAAACATTTTTTTTTGTAATAAGTCTAAAGACCGGATTTATATTCTCTTAAAATACCTAAAATATGATGCTAATATTCTCTAAAAAACCTTCAAATATTCTCATTATATTCTCTTAAAAATTTAAAAAATATGCTAAAATATGCAAAAATAATCAATAAACATCATTTTGCTTAAATATGAATTTTAAATTTTTTTCAACATTATTTTAATAGTGAGATATTAATTAGGTATTAAAAGTTGCGTATTTTAATGGAATACTATTGCACTTTAGTAGGAGTTGGAAATTATAAAAAAAAAACAATTTTTCTGGATACCGTAATATTAAAATTAAAAATAAATACAAATATTTTCTCACAATTTTCGAAATATTCCAAAATATGCTAAATGGGTTAAACATTCTCTAACCCATGAAATTTTCTCAAATATGCAAAAAAAACTTTTTTCGGAATTGAACAAATCGTCCAC